TTATTATCATCATCATCCGTGCATAAGAAAATCTAGGTTTAAACCAGACCAAGTGAATAATCAGTGATTATTTTACCCAGATTTTTTCAGACTAAATAAAATTCTCACATTTTTTCACTGCTAATACTGGTAACTGTGTAATAGTGGGTTTTCCAACTTTCCCTATGCCACAATTATTAGCTTAGAACATTAGCATGAATTTCATTACTGTTAAGAAGCGATGCACAAAGTTTAGCAACATTTGACCACTAGAGGGTGCTAAAATGTGAAAACCAGATATTTTAAAAAGATTTTAAGAGGGCTTGCAAACCTTGTACATGTAATATGACATGTCATTTTGATATCTTGGGGACACAAGTACACCCCAGAATATCYATTCTTAAAACATAAAAATAAATAACCCCACTGATGACTTTTTTGGGGTACAGTCATTGAAATATTTTCCTACTGGAAGTAGTAAACTTGATCTCTGGATGACATGATTAGTAGAATCACAACACCTTTTCTGATATTGAACAAAATAAAACAGCTGGCTTATTTGGGGATAGGGGGCACTTTGTTGTGTAGTAAATAACCTTCGTCTAAAATTGCAGTTACAGTCGTCTCAGTGAAGTCGCAGGCTTCCTGCTCAATGGTATCAGAAGAGTCAGCAGGGGCCCCAGCTGATCCTGAAACTGGGGGGCTGCTGCCGGAAGCAGGAAGTCCAGAGTTGCTGGCTTGCTCTGATGCTGCCTCCGACTCTGAAGATGGCTTTGTCCACTGGAGGGCATTCTTCTACAGAGAGCCAAGAGCACAGAACTGAGCAGAAGCTTGTTAAAAAAATGTACTCCCTGCTGGTGAGAAGCACATCCACTTTCACACCTCAAACAATAAGTTACTACACAAAAATCATAAAGTCAGATTTTAAAAATAGTTGAAGCGTAAGCCTCTAAAGGGTCTGATGGTCACATGTGAATTGTTTTTTCTATGGTGTTTATGTAAAAGACGTGACAAATTTAAAAAAAATCCCTTCACTTCCTGTCTTAAAAATATACTTTGAGCTAAAATCCAACAGTCTGGGAAAGCCTGGGTGTGCTCTCTCTGCATTCTCAGTGAAGTATGTCTGAGCTGTGGAGAGCTAAACATCACTAAACCCTACTGATCTCTCATGCTTGCAGGTTATTGTGAGTTTTGTCTACAATTTGCAACCACTAACAAAAAACAAACCAGGGAAGGCCCTGTTTTTTTGTTACATATCACWAACAAAAAACAAACCCCCTTCCCTGTTCCCTTGTCTGAACATGACATTCATGTTGATGCATACTTTGCATGTTTTATTTTAAAGATGCATGACACAATACAAGATAAATACTTTGAACAGAAATAATAAATAAGCTTCTAATCATGCATTGGCAAGCTTACTGTATATCACACTGACAGGTAAGCTGGGCCCATATGTATCAAATGTATTAAACCGGGTACACACCGGATGCGTTTTGAGCAGCCTAAGCAGCCAGTTCATATGCAAAGTCTATGGTGGACGCGCATCTAGGAGCAGCACAGCCCGTTTTGCCAATTTAGCGCGGCGCGTAAGGTAGGATGGATGCAAGCGGTAGGATGTGGCAGAGCGTTTTCCATGCATGCGGTGCGTCCAAAGCAGCCGCTGCTCGAGTTCAAAAAATTGAACTTTCGCTGCTCGACGCACAGCAGCAACCAATCAGAGAGAATCATTTTTCCACGTGACGGCTTCCTGAACCCGACACAGACAGACAGGAGCTCTTTAGCTGAAATCGACCGTCTGAGGTTGGTGTTTTGGCTGGGGATATCAGCACCGATGTGGGTCAGCAGCTTGTTAAAATGAGCTCGGGACAAAAAAAAACTAACCTAACAGACCGCCTCTAAATTATCTGCTGTGCGCAACATTTGCTTGCTCTTTAGTAAATAAAACAAAGCCATTTTCTTTATTTTATCTTTATTTCACCCGTCACGCTCCTCCCTCCTCAGACACACTGCTGCTGCGTTCACACCAAAGGTGTTTCAGTGCGTCCAACTGAGGGGTTAGGCACATTTTTGCTGCTCAGAACGCGTTTGGTKGGAACCCGACTTTACAGTGGAATTTTAGACTTAAGTAATGAAAATTTCTTGTTTCCTCCTACTTTCAGACTTAAGTGTAAATTCCAGTTATCAAAATTCTTCATATTATACTTAGGTCATGCTTAATGTCAATGTCTTATCTATATGTTTATATGTTTAACTGCACTTTGGAGACTGGTGAAACGCAATTTCAACTTCTGTGCTAACCCTGTTACATAGATTTTGACAATAAAGTACACTTGAACTTAAGACAGCTCCAGAGGTCTCTTAAAGGGGCAATATCATGTAAAATTAACTTTCTTGAGCTATATCATGTTATAATGGTATAACTCTCATCAATAACATGTTCAGACTCTTGCTTTGACTCATTCATGCATGTTTGAGAAATCCTGTAGTGTCCTGAGGCAGCCAGGCAGGGGAGCAAAAACAACCAGTTGGACCTAGAACCGCCTTTTGGGATCAGCTCCTCCTCTACATTTAAAAGTTGCAATGTTGGTTTCGATACGTAGATGACATATTTTGACATATTTTTTGTTTGTTTCTGGCACTAAAGAGGAATTACATGAGTTTAAATGCCTTTTTGATTGTCATTTTCCTACTCTTAAAAAGGAATCCATGATTAGTTGTGACGTTAGACGTTTTCGATAAACATATATTTTAACTGTAAAATAAAGACTGTAAAAATACTGTAGGCTGTTTAGTTTTTATTATTTTTAAACTAAAAGTTTAAAAATGTATTACACGGATAGGGCCATTTTATTTACACGYAAAGCATTCTGGGTAAATGATGACATTGATAGGTCATCTGTGCGAGGCTGCTAGCGAGCTATATCCACCCTGAAGGTTAATCTTGGACAATATCTGATGATCGACTCTTTTAAATGAAACCAGAGAGCGTTGACAGAGAGGAGAAGGTAGAAATGACTCAGCCTGKAACTGAAAATMTGGATGGAGGACAACAGAGCTGCTWCATGGAAGAAGAACCTCAGCTTAGCTTGTTAGCTTTAGCATTAGCCCCGACGCTATCACCAATTAGCTCAGCGCTACACATTCTCCTCTCGTCACTGAGGTCCTCCATCCACATGACAGAGATGGGAACGTAAAAATGACTCAGCCTGCAACTGAAAATGTGGATGGAGGACCTCAGTTTAGCTTGTTAGTTTGTCATGCTAGCACCAAGCTAATACATAAGGCACAATAACATCAGCTCTAGCGCAAAGGCTAGAGTTTATTTACACTTAAGTCCATTCTTAGCAGCATTCCTAAGAATAATTCTAGGATGTTGGATAAATATGGGCACAGGACTGTGGAGTGGAAACACTACTAGTACACCATTTCAAATAAAGTCAGAATGTCGTTTTAAAATTTACTAAAAAATATTCACAAGATCATTTGAGGATTTGTAAAAGAACCAAACCTCTGAGCAAGTACCTTCAGAGTGAAGAGGCTCATTCGTCCAGGGAGTTTAAAGAAGATGCTGTTCTTCACTCTGTCTCCTCTAACTTGGGAGTGCAGCATCGTGACCAGGCAGGCCAGAGGAGCTGTTCCACTGTACACAAAAACAATTATAATCAATAAAATTCAACACATACCGGTAAGTCAAATCTCATTTAAGTGCTTTTGGACCACAAAGACCCACTCCGCAGTACTTAAGACCATTTGAGTTTTCCTTTATTTTTTTACTGGTAGTACTGAGGCGATTTAGAGTTCTTTTAACAACATTTGTCAGGTYTTTATTTCTTGCTTTTATGTCAAACAATTTCTTAGCTTAAAACAGATGAGCGTCATAAAGGGAATGTGAATGGTCCTAGTATAAATTTAAACTAAACGCTCTCCCACCACCTTCACTTTAGTATCAGTCTGCCATGATACAATTATCTTTAAACTTTTGCAGCACAAAGTAGACAGGCCAAACCAAAATCTCATAAAAAACAGCTCCAACTTCAAATTCTGTTATTGTTTGTGAATGTCAAGTGCATCAGTGGCCAACATTTAACCAGGGTTGAGCCAAATGTGAATTTTAAAAGATTTTAATCCATCCTCCTCTAAATTAGKGCTTGGCGATAATTCAATAATGATATACATCATGATAGACAAGTGTTCAATATCAATAGAAAACACATCCGATATAATATCGATAATTTCACTGGTTATTAACTGCTAAAGGTTGATAACTTTGTGATAAAATAAGCTAGAAACATTCAACTAAACACCACCGAGAAAGCGAAGATTGACTTTCAAAATAAAAGCTTCACGCTGTTAATAGACTAGTGCCTGCTTAAAAAAATTAATTATCACTCGAATGGAGAAAATGATGCAACAACTTGAGAGAAAATTGTGGATAAAAGAGTTCCTCTGTCATGTCACCAGTTTGGCAGTATTTTAATAATATATATATAAGTTAGACAAGAGTCAGATCATTGTGTAAAACCAATCAATAATTATCTATATTGACAGATTTGAAACGTTTAGATCATGATATATTTTTCAGCCATATTGCCCAGCCCTCCAGCAAATTTACCATGGTATAAGGCATTATTGTCAAACATAACTACAAAGTTTAAATGGCTGGGATTAAACAAGCAACAGAAATTTTAAGGATGKTATTCAAAGGAATAACATATATGGAAACCTCAGTATGTTCAATACATTTCTATCCTACTGTCAATCCATCACAGTGATCTCCTGACATTGAAAAAGCAAAAACATAGGTCCTAATCAAATTAAAATCAAAAACATTGTGAACGACCCTGACCATCCTCTYCATCAGACTGTCACAGAAAAACAGTGTCTTCAGTCGGAGGCTTTTCGTTGTAATACAGATCACTATGGAAGATCTTTCCTGCCCAYAGCCATCAGCATCTACAATAACTCTGTAGCTAAATGAGTTACACCACCACCTAATTTCCCTCTGGGATCAATAAAGTATTTTTTAATTGAATTGAATTAATAACCATTAAAGCCAGAATCTCACTGGGCTGTGACTGATGATAATGGTTAGGGCTCGGTTAGATGGCTGAAATTTTAGATTTATCACGTTAAAAGCCTTTCGTATCAGTCATATTCGATAATTATTGATTAATTTTAGACATTAGTCTGACATTTGTCATACTTCAAAATAGGGTTGGGCAATATTGGCAAAAAAATTAATCACAATTAATTGTG